AATTAATTGATTATTTAAATTGTAAAAATCGATTATTATGAATTAATGGATTATTTAAATTGTAAAAATCGATTTTTTATGAATTAATCGATTATTTATATTGTAAAAATCGATTAAAATTAATTAATTGATTATTTAAATTGTAAAAATCGATTTTTAGTAATTAATGGATTATTTAAAATATAAAAATCGATTTTTAGCAATTAATTGATTATTTAAAATATAAAAATCGATTTTTAGCAATTAATTGATTATTTAAAATATAAAAATCGATTTTTAGCAATAAATTGATTATTTAAAATATAAAAATCGATTTTTAGCTATTAATGAATTATTTTAAATATAAAAATCGATTTTTAGGTATTAATTGATTATTTTTAAAAATAAAAATCGATTTTTCTTAAGTCGAGATCCTGTTCCAAAAATATTCGGAAAATATATGCTCTAAAATCCACCAATTGATTATGATCATTGGAAAAATGATTTACCATAATAAAAATGATGTTTTTAACAAATAAAAATGTTATGTGATGCATGACGGTAAGTTAGGGTGTTAACACTCGAAGCTAGGCCGCTATTTATTATTGAATATTATGTTGATTGATGATTATGGTAATGATTATTGATTGATTATTATGATGATTGAATCTTGATGAATATTCTGATTAAAAATGATAATTGTGAATGATGAAATCATAATGAATATATTGATGATTGTGAAAATAAAATGTATTGTTAAGGGTATCTAGAAGACCTCTAAGATATACCCATATTAATGTTGATTTGAAAGGTATCTAGAAGACCTCTAAGATATACCTATCTAAGTTAGGCCTTGCGGGTATGAACCCCGGTGGCTAGGGTTAAAACGTACGTACGGGATCCAGGAACCAAACTTGAGTACCTACTCGTTTGGGGGTACCACCCACCCAACAGTGAACACTACGCTGTCGGTTTTTGGTTGGCCTTAAGCTTCCGCAATATTGAAAACTCCGTACTGTTTATATTATGAAAAATATTATTGTGATAAATAAAAGTGTTCGAAATGTTTTAAATTTTTACGATTACCAAGTTAATACTTTAATCTGAAAGGGGCTGCAGACCTGGACAGATTAGGGTGTTACACTCAATGCCTAATTCGTCACATAAGGCGTCAAAGCCATCTTGATCGAATTCTCCCCCATGATCACTTCTTATGGATGAAATGTGACAATCTTTTTCATTTTGAACCAATTTAATGAATTTCTTAAAAGCATTAAGTGCATCATACTTATGAGCAAGAAAGAGTGTCCATGTAAACCTCGAATAGTCATCAACGATAACA